CATCGCACAATGGGGTAGAATATAAATTCCTCGTTCAAGCAGTCGGGCGAGAATACAAGACAGTGTAGAACGAACAAGCAATGGCACTTTTCGGCAGTGATTACGAGTCACTGAGGGCGAGTTTGTTGACCATTCTGTTCTATGAAGAATGTGCTCTGTGGTTGAACAGACGGTGTGGCCTTGTAAATCAGCTGGCAAAGCGTGCGCTTTATACAAAGGCATAGCTGGCGTTGACGCTTGAGTTCACACAGCACCGGAATTACTAACCTTTTCATTGTTCACAGATAAAACGAAGTGTTGAGAAAGTAATAGATGTAACATCTCTTTAAAAGAAATATGATGTAGTTTGGTGTCAGTGTTTGGACACTTTTTGATTAGTTGAATGGCCTCATATCATCTGTAGGAAATACACTATACACTGCGTAGTATTGTGACACCAGAAGTGTTTTTCTTGGTCTTGTTTTAAAGTTCCCTTTGTTTTCTTAGTATCAATTCGGTGCAACCGGCGCAAGAAATCTGATCAACTTGCTGGTCATTTAGGTTCAACAAACGCTTTTTAAAATGGTGACACACTGGTAATCAAGCGTACCCAGTTGAAGGTTGAGGACCATTTAGTACGTGATGATGACTTTGGCGTAATGGATGGATTTCAAACGAAGTGGAGACACACTACTTACCCTCGTTTAATTTTGATGTAGTTCACCAGGCTTTTGTAGAACTTGGGACTGATTTTCAATATGTCTCTCCGACGAAACACGTGCTATCAGAGACAACGCAAAAAACAAAGGGTTGAGCAGTATGCGCAATGATATGTATAGTTCTTACGACCAAAATTTAAGAAATACCTAATTTGGTACTAATTTTGGTTAGCATCAGAGATCAAGTGACGTAACCCACGATCACATTGATCCGAAAATGTAGCAATAGATTCCGAGCAATACGAGCGGTGATATTTAAAAACGCGAAAGTTGGAATTTCTGTTTTTAAAGTGGACTGAACCGAGTTCCGATTCTGAAAGAGTAGCTTATTCAACATCGTACAAAGCTTTCCTGGAGGTTCACAAAAACAACCTTGGTAGGTTTTAACGTTTTTTAAATATGCCTATCTGGTACTCTTATTGCAGAAATCGGAATCACAATGGAGATCGCAATGGAAACACGTAATTGCATTATTAATTGTGTACCGAAATCTCCCGTCACTGAAACACGGGAGGAAAGCCACAGATGTGACGGACCCTTATTGCGATGAATCATTGCGATTAAATACTATGTACAAAAGGATATCACCGACTGAAAAGTATTGACCAATTGTAGTTCAGGCTCTGATGGAAACAAGAGCTCTGTTTGAACCCAAAAGGGTTATGATTGGTCCAGAACGCTAGCTTTTTATTGGTCGATCGGAAACCACACCGAGTAGCTCCTATACTAGTGATTTCATGAAGCGTTGGATCGCTACAGTATTCAAGTTGCAAATATCCTTTTTGTGAATCTAACCACTATTTTTGTCTAATTTCCTTATTTGTCACCATAAAAGATGACTGTACATGGATGATTTCTCGAAATGAACGTGAAATCAAGGTAATGACTCTTATCTAAACGTGTTGTGCAAATTCTCGTCCACAAATTCAATATACTCCCTCATTGACTGAACATTGCTCGCACGTTCGGTGTATATCTGTTGTGTTTTACCAAAGTAATCACCGAAATCGGTCCCACGATGCGTATCCCAGCAATTCCAGTTAAAAGACAGTTGCAACCAGTGCAAGATTTTATTGGTAGTGCCAGCCAAACATGGATTGAAAAAGGGAGAAACGTGAGGTAGCTATGGTGTTAATTACAGACTAGTCATTTGTCCAGAATCGGAGTTACGAAGGCGCCGACGGAGAGATTGCACAAAACAAGTTGCCGTGCTAAGGTCATCACACTGACGACTATGTATCCAGGGCCCTCGAGAAAACGCCAACACGTTCTCACGGTGGTGGCAGTTCCCAATCCATTTCAAATTCAAACCACGAGACCTCTCAGGGAAATTCTTAGGCTTCCCCCGACAATAACAAGGCCAAAAAAATAAATAATATCCTTCTGGCTTTATCCTCACATCACATGATCTGTCATAGGGACAGTTGAATTATTGTCTGTTGCAAATGAGTTGAGGCAGAACTAATGTCTTTGAGATGTTACAAATACCAGTGTATCGCGACGTAACACGTGGGGGCTCGATACATTGAAAATCCCGCCAAACATATGAATGTATTTCACCACCTATGCAATGCAAGTCATGTTTGAACGAATTATTCTTAAAACTCGTACGAATGTTCGTATTTCGTATAATTCGCCTATGAAGGCATTTTACCCAACTCAGGTTTTCCGTCGTTGTTACGTTTTTTCGTCTCATTACGGGACACTGGTCTGTGGGTTAAGAGGATTGAGTGTTACGGACTTGGTAACCATGACAGCCCGACACTGGTGGGAAAGCCAATAGTCGCATCCAATAAATGCAACGGGGTTAGAAGATCTATGAAACATCAACCCATCTAGTTCATGAGAAGGCTTGATCGCTAAGTCTTTCTATAAAATTATTCATACATTTATGTCTTCGGTTACTTCTTTTCAATCTTGAACAAAAGTTGCAAAAAAAGCGCTGTGCGCTTAAAGACTGCGAAAGGTTTGACGGAAATTTCCCACCCGACAACGACCTCTCATTCTATTTTTTCGCAAACAAACATTTTTTAACTTTCAAAAAATCGTTGATTTGCAAATACAAATATTGAGACGCAAAATATCCTCTTTCTTCTCAACCACCACCTCTTACTCCTCCTCTTCCTCAAGGAATTAAAAGTGAAAATAATAGAGGTATTTGCATCAAACTACCTTTGCTCCACTGAACAAACGTAATTGATACCGATGACGTAGCGGATAGCGTGGATCAGGAGAGCCCAAAAATCCGCCCTGCACCCGAGCCGGAACCCAGCACTCACAGGACTCGTTCACATTTTTCACGCGAACAAGTACCGTGTCACCGTCCTGATCGTGGATACGGAGGGGATTCGGAAACAGAGAAGCAATTACGATTGCAGTGGAAGGTGACGATAAAAAACTTAAATAATTACTAATTTAAGAACTAGAATTTCCCATTTTGGTAATAAATCTCGCCTTCGCTGAACAGTAGTAATTATTGGTGACGAGTCGGCAGTGTCATGTCATTATGATACGTGACAAAAAGTGAATTCTCAACCCACTGAGTGAGTTGAAGTAGAACTTACACGAGAAAAACAACTGTAGACACTTTTACCATACTTTTATTTTCAAACCGAAATCTTTTGTCCGACATACGTCAACAGAACAGCTGAGGATAAGTAGTTTTGACAAACGAGGAGATTAGTCCACAAATCGATTATTTTGAAGCATAGTGACCAAGGTAAACTGAGATAAGAAAACATTTTCTCCCTCATTTACCCCGCACTTGCTTGTGAATAGTGCGGTGTAGGAATCCGTTATATTGATTTAGACCATCGAATGAAACTCAACTTTACACCTGTTCTTCCGTTCATCCAGTCAAGTGTGGACTGAATGAACTGCCAAACTGTGTGTAAAGAGAAACTCTGAAGCACGGAATCATTTGTCATTCGGATAAAGGGGTCATGGATTTTTGCTAATTTACAAGAAAAATCAGTTCGACTCGTTGTTTTCCATGAGTTGCGACATCAAAGCCACTGATGCGAATTGTTTCCGATAATCTGCTGGTGAGTGGGTTTTATGTATATTCTCATCCAAAGTGAGCATGCATGATGCTCGCCGCATTGTAGGATTTTATTTTTTGTTGTTACTTGACTCGGACATTGTGGTGTACGTAGTCATTAGCCCAGTCCTCTTGCTCAGTACACTGGAGAATCGATATCATCATCAGACTGAGAGATGATGTGAGAGATGTGAGTAACGAAGAGAAAATCTGTCCCCAATTATCATAAAATTTACCGATTTTACTGCAAAAGATACCACCAGCACTCCAGCGATAGAGGTGGAGGAGATCTTTTGTGTCAGTGTCATGCAGTATCAAACGTATGCAATAAAATAACTCACATTGAGTGTTTGGGTGTGTAGCATGTCAACGATCGGTAAGGTCAATTGGTTGGGCACTTCGGACAAGAGTCCATTGTGACGAAAACGGACAACGGATGCATCATTTGTCACACACTTTTGTACCAGACCTGTACATTGAATGAAAAAAATCGTGAAAAATGTCAGAGAATATTATGGGTGTGCGATTTTTAACTTCCAAACATTTAAGCTTCATTGAGAAAACTGAGATGTGATTTCGAATACTGATTCATTTTTGTGTTCATTGCTTACTGATGCAACGTTTAATTCATATGATCGACTGATTATCTTTCAAAAGCACAATTAGTACCGAAGTAACAGGATAGGAGCCCAGTTTTGGAAAGATTCATTATCACGGAAAACAAAAATTTGCACGAGTGTGCAGTTGGTGTAGATCTATAAGGATCATTGTGGACAACACTCGATTATACCTCCTAGTGTCATCTCATCACGACAAGAAGGCACCTTGACGTCCTGTGATAGCTTTTCCGTCTACCTGAAATTGTGAGCTATGTAAGATGGTTTTTCACAGCCTCAGATCCAATCATACTCGAAAGGTCAATGGATAGAGAGTATAGGAGGCTTATTCTCAAAAGGCCAGCCGATTGGGCACCGATTGGCTTCCTCCGACAACTCAGTTCCGTCCCTGGAGAAGTCAACGCTCCGAGATGACGCGAGCAAAGCGTCTTCGCGTTCCAGTTTATCGACATAGGGCCCTGGAATTACAGTATCGATCAGTCAATAACCAGACAGTGCAAACAGAATGTGTCTGACTCGAAGAAAGAAAACGGAGATTGGTTGATATTCGTTTCACCAATGATATTTTTACTTACGCATTATTTTTTCCCATTGACTTCTCTCAACAAATGAACCACTGTTTCTGTGACCTTAGCCCTGTTTCTAGAAGACTCGAGAACCTAGTGATTTTGCGTCTCAGCTGCGACCATGATTCGTGATCCGTAATCCGTACCTACTCCAAATACTACAATTCGGCGTCGCGCAAAGAAGCTACCTGCCATCGAGCAAGTGAACCTGCATGCCTGTCCGTCTGAGATTGAGTAATGGGTGGAGCGGTTCGAGGTGTGGTGCAACATTCGCAGAGGTGGCTCGCATAAATCGATTAACCCTATTTCTCACTACTGATAGCCGCAAACTCTTCGCTGCTAAAGAACCTGGCATTTCCTGAGGCTCCGGCATAACTTCCATATGATTACTTGAAGCGGCTGCTGCTTGACCACCTGAGTTTCGTGACCACAGGAGCTCGTTTCATAGGATCAATCTGTTTAGCAAAGTCATAATCCACATCCGTTTCGATTTCCCTATACCGGTATGAGTTATTGCGTCATTATCATGACCATACCAAATTTGATCAATGTGAATGGTTTGGTTACCGAGATATTGCGAAAGAGAATGAGATTAATGGTATTTTATTCACCTTAACCAGGCACGCTGAACGACATCGCATGAAGTTCGTCTGTCAGTTCATATTTAACATGTTTTCAGTTGTGCATTTTTTCTGAACGTGGTTATTATCCTCATCAGCCTGCGGCACAAATTAAAGGGAACTGGAACAACTTCAAACTATTTTTTACACTAGTTTGCAGAAAATAGACGTACACACATGAGGTAATGCGATCTCAGGTATAATTCAAACACGCAAGACAAACACACCACTGTGGCCAGTATCCAGACAACACGATCGGATTGAGCAAATGCGCTCTTTCAAACAGCCATACCTACTAAGTGGTATCAAGCAAGAACGCCACTGCTCTCGATTGTTTGCTGTTCTCATTCCAGTAGAATACAATACTCGCCTGTTTCAATCTCACAAATGAAAAAGATTCACTGAATTTAGTCATTCTGTATGATATATCGTATTTTTTGGGTACATGACCGGTTGACCAGCACGAGTTTTTGCCCGCGACAAGCTAAGAACAGTTAACTGATCCCAGCGTGATTAGGGATTAGTAAATCTGAACAATATTTATCCAAGCAGAAAGTTTCATATATTACTGATTCCTTATATGACGGGCTCAGCATACTCGTCAAAAACTGCTTCATCCTGGGACAGGCAATCAGAACTTGGACAGTCCTACTCAAGTGATTCGTCGGAACGGATAAACAATCGCTGCGGTTGAGAATCAATCTTTTTGTATGTAATCCCATGTCCTCCCTAGTTCCTATAAATAAGAACGATTTTTTGCACTATGAATGAAATCCTACTCAGTTGCAACTGCTCTGCATTTCACTGCCCGTAGAATGGTTATCTGAACGAAAAACGTTGTCAGAAAACGATCATTTGTGAATCTAGAAGTGAGACAAATCGGTGCACTTATACAACGCATTCATCATCAAGACAATAATCGATGAGAAAATTTCTGTCGATATCCTGATTCCGGTCTACATCCGGTGCAATGCTGTATATAGCTGAGATTTACTATTAAAGGAACATTGAGAACCAATTAATTTATGGTCTGATATTGGAAATCAACTCCTCCTGTTCGATTGCTATATCTTAAGTCGTTTACTTTAATGGTCCTATACCAAATTGATATAATACTGCCTCAAATTCCCTACTCAGATTCGGTTCCTTTACTATTCCACCCCCAATATGAGACAACTGTGACATGGGATTGCATTCGTCGAGTCCGATGTGTGAAGCCAGCGATTTGTGAGGACAGGGGCTAAGATTCGCATTACTTCCGAGCCCGATCTGATATCACACTCTTGACAGCTATAGTTTCAGTTGGCACAACCATTAACTATGCTCTCTCGTGCGCCGGTTTTGGTTGCTGTCTTTAGCTGCCCATTTGGATGAACAGTAGAAGAAACAAGAAAGTTGAAAGAAAATGGAGAATTACGGTGGACCAAGGTTGCGGAGATATTGGGAAGATGCAGGAACGCCATTCTTTACGACACTCAGTCATATCACTTAGTGTCTCTAATCTAGGGTGGTGGTGGCACAGTGGTTTAGTCGCCGTCACCGTCGTGCTTTGGACCCTACGGTCCGAGGTTCGAGCCCCGCCATCGCCACACGACTTTGGTGGTAGGCAGCTCTGCTGTCGTCCAGTTCAATACCATCCCCAACCTATCGGGGCTTCATGTGGTTCGCCACTCCAAGTAATGGGGCTTAGGGTACCGGTTTCCACCACTGAACAACAGGTCTTCCTGACTGTGGGGTTCACCCCGTCTGCTATTCATCACACTTGGGTGTGTAATAAAAAAATACCACCGGTTGAGATCATCCCGAGGTCCCTAACCACGAAGCCTAAAGGGAACCTATGTGGACGAGTCTCTTGGTTATGGAATACGATAATTTGCACCAGTGGGTGGCCGTGATTACTTAAAACTCTACGCCCAAACTCATCACTGCTTGTCCAGTTTCCCCCACCAGAATTGTGCAATGCTGCGTAGACAGCGGTGTTCAAACACCGACGTTCTGTCTCTATTCTGTTTTCTTAATGGCCAAATTTCTGTACCGTATAACAGAACTGGCCAAACTGCAGCAGCATATACTCGATACTTCACAAAACACCGGAGTTCGCAGCAGCAGCACAACTATCCCAGATTGACACATACTAGGCCTTCGGCACGCGAGCTGACGCTTCATCCGTGATGCGTCCACCGGATGAGATGTAGCAGCCCAAATAACAAAACTTGTCCCACGTTTCTCTGTTACTTCCCCAGTTAGAGTGAGGTTAGGTGCTGAACCAACCCAGTCATGTAGTAACATTTTTCACTTTGTAGGTGCAAAACGCATACCGTGTATGGCTACACTGTCACTCAAGCTATCCAGAAAAGCTTGCAATTTATCTTAATGTTCGTTTAGCAGTGCAATGTCGTCTGAAAATACTCCAGACCATCCTTGAACAGCGATGGGAACGGCCCATCTAGGTCGGAGGTTTTACGCCTTTTGGGATAACTTATTTCTTGGAAATCCTCCATTTCAGTGCACCATAGAGCGCAAGGGTAGGTTAGAATTTGTTTTCTCTTCGCAGAGAAGAACGCTGTTCAACTGTAGAAGCTTTCGACTGGATATATTGGAATAATAACAGATTATATGCGTTTGTTTCATGCGGTTTCGATCAAATTTTGTTGTCTTGTTGATATCCGATTTGTTCAGTTCAGCTTGAAGAATAATATGTATGTATAAGGAATATTTCCAGATACATTTGGCTTGATTTTTGGACCATTACTACTACTACTACTACTACTACTACCGGTACCAAAAACAATCAGTTGGGAAAAATCAAGAAGGGTTTTGCGTGGGCCTACATTAGGGGATATTATTGTCCGTTATTAATACAAGTTTACTGAACCCGCTTCGAATAATGGTGCGTGTATCTTAGACGAGTTAAGCGTTGGCCCCGTGTCACAATCCCATAAGCATTTTCCATTCGGAATTTCCCACATGGCGCACCGCTCCACAACTGATTCT